TCTGTCTGGCAAGCGCATGCGCCCTATAGTGAAAACCTCTCCAAAAAAAAAAAAAAAAAAAAATCTTTAATTTCTTTCAACAAGGTATTGTGGTTTTCAGAACACATGTTTAGCACTTCTTTTGTTGAATTTTATTCCTGAGTATTTTAGGGAAGTCTTAATTTCATTTATGATTTATTCGTTGCCTTTGTATAGAAACGACTGGTTTTTTTGTTTTTGTTTTTGTTTGGTTTTTTTGAGAGGTTTATGCTATAGGGCATGCGTGCTGGCCAGAAAGAGACAAAGAGACAGAAAGAGAAATCACTCCCTGGGGGGATGGCCACTCCGCAATCCCTTCTCCATTCTCCTCTGGGGATCTTGGGCCCGCATGCCCTCGCACCTGGCGTGAGTTTAAGCCACCAGGTCCTGGACTCGAACTGCAGTCGACTACATGGGAGTCCAGCGACATAGCTATTATGCCAACTGCTGGTCCCCAGGAGTGATTTTCATGTATTGGTCTTCTGTCCTGGAGCCTTGCTGAACTCACTCACTAGTTCCGACAGTTTTTAGTGGTGGTCTTGGGATTTCCTATGGAAAAGCTCTTGTACTGCTGTAGAGTTTTACTTCTTTTGTTCAAACATGAACGCTTATTTTGTCTTCTTGCCTAATTGCAGGCTCCCTCTCTTTTCATAGATAGGGCTCAAAGAAGAGCAGTGGCTGGGCGGGCTGCCCCTGGGGGACTGGCAGTTGGCACTGGCCCATTGCCCCATCCGTGGCCTCCCCTGGCATCCTGAGGTTCAACATGCCAGTGAGTCAAAAACCTACTTAACCACGGGAACAGGGAGGACCCGGGTGCTCTGGCACTTCCCGGAAGGCCTGAGCAGACCCCCTTGCCCAGCAGGAGTCCCTGAGTCCCCCTGAGCTCAGCAACTTCCCACGGGGGAGCCTGCCCTACTTGCCAGCGTGTGGTGGTTGGGTTCTCAGCGACGCCTCTGCCTGTCAGACTAATGCTGTGCTGGACCCTTCTGTGCCTGAGCTGGAGGTCAGGCAGAGTCAAAGCTGGCCCAGCCCCAACCCTGGGCAGCCAAGGGGTCAGCCTGACACACCTCCCCTCAGGCCAGCACCCCCTCTGCCCTCCCCACAGCCCCTTTCTTGGGGCCCTGCAGAGCTCCCCCCAAGCAGGGAGGCATGGGGGGAGAAGGCCAGGCTGGGACACCTTCGTTGAGCATCCAGCTGAGAGAGGAGGGGCGGGGTAGGCAAATAACCCCCAGGGTCCAGCAGAGCAGAGGCGGCGAGAGGCTGATGGGTGGCCCTGAGGAAGCGCAGTTGAGCCTCCAGCTGACAGCCGTGGAGATCCACAGGCAGAGAAGGGGCCTTCATGTGGCACAAGGGAGGGTGCGCCCTGGGAAGCAGAAGGAGGTCAGAGAGGCTGGAGTGGCGGGAGCATGGGGAGCCAAAGGCACAGGCGGGCCGCGAGGCCAGCCACCGGGCACTGTGGAGTGGAGGTTCAAAGGCTTCAAGGAAGGCCGTGCTTTCCGAGGGCCAGGCAGGGACGGGCTGTGCTCTTCACCTTAAGGATAGGACAAAGTCGGCAGGTTCGGGCCCCACTGCCAGCCTTGAGGGCAGTGAGCCTGCTGTCAGACAGATGTCGCCCCTTGAAGTGAACACAGTGCGTACACAGGAAGCGAGATGCCAGCGTAAGCTGTCCTCGTTCCGTCCAGATACACAGGGTATGCAAGAACTCCTTGAGAGCAAAGAGGAAGGAGCCAGGACAGACTCAGATTTGGCCCAGCCCCAACCCTGGGCAGCCAAGGGTCAGCCTCACGCACTCCCCCCGCAGCCCAGCACCCCCTCTGCCCTCCCCGCAGCCCCTCTCTTGGGGCCCTGCAGAGCCAGCGTGGAGTTGGTCCTGATCCTGGTGGCTAAAGGAAGCAGATCCCACATGGTCGACGGCGCAATTCAGGTTCTGACCCCAGCAGCTGGAAAACCACACCCAGCAGGAGTGCATGCCTATGCCGTGTCCTACACGGAGCGTGAGAGATGGGCCATCGTGGCGTGACCACGTCCCGTGGGGAGCGCCTGTCCCCCACCCTCTCTCTCCTCTGTCTCTCTGGTGAGCATACACACTCTCTGATAAAGCTTTTTCCCCCAAGAGTTATTTTTATTTAGCTTTATTTATTTATTTTTAAATAATTATTTTATTTATTCATTCATTTATTTTTTAATTTGACCAGAGAGAGACAGACAGTGAGAGTGAGAGAGAGAGGAAGCGAGAAAGCAAGCCACCAGATTCAGGACTCGAACCCTGGTCGGCCTTGTGGGAGTGTCCAGCGCCTTAACCACCATGCCAGCTGCTGGTCCCTAGCTTTATTTATTTTAATTTGACCGGAGAGGGGTTGGGGAGAGAGAGTGAGCGAGCAAGCTGCCAGGTTTGGGACTCAAACTGTGATTGGCCATGTGGGAGTCCAGCACCCTTAACCACTATCCACCTGTTGACTCTTCGAAGAGTCATGTGAGAGGGGAGATGGCAGGAGTTTGTTGTGTTTTGTTTTTTGTAGGGTGGAAGACAAGCTGGTCCTAGGAAAGTGGGTTCAGCTGATACCCCACACAAACCCATTCATCATCCACCCATCTCTGCCCATCCTTCCGTCATCCACCCACCGGCCCATCCTTCCTCATCCATCCATCTGCCCATCCTACCAAACTTCCATCTAGCTGCCTGCCCATCCATCCATCCATCCTTCCCTCCATCCTTCCTAACTTCCTTCCTTCCCTCCATCCTTCCTAACTTCCTTCCATCCATCCATCCTTCCTAACTTCCATCTAGCTGCCTGCCCATCCATCTATCCATCCTTCCTAACTTCCATCCATCCATCCATCCATCCTTCCTAACTTCCTTCCATCATCCATCCATCCATCCTTCCATCCATCCATCCTTCCATCCTTCCTAACTTCCTTCCATCATCCATCCATCCATCCTTCCATTCATCCATCCATCCTAACTTCCTTCCATCATCCATCCATCCATCCTTCCATTCATCCATCCATCCATCCTTCCTAACTTCCTTCCATCATCCATCCATCCTAACTTCCTTCCATCATCCATCCATCCATCCTTCCATTCATCCATCCATCCATCCTTCCTAACTTCCTTCCATCATCCATCCATCCATCCTTCCATCTGTCCATCCTTCCTAACTTCCATCCATCTGTCCATCCTTCCTAACTTCCATCTATCTGCCTGCCCATCCATCTATCCATCCTTTCATTCTTCTTTCCTTCCTAAATTCCATCCATCCATTCATGCCTCCTAACTTCCTTCCTTCCTTCCTTCCTTCCATCCATCCATCCTTCTTAATTTCTATCCATCTGCCCATCCATCCATCCATCCATCTGCTCATCCATCCACCCATCCATTCATTCTTCCTGACTTCCTTTCTAACTTCTATCCATCCATCCTTCCTAACTTCCTTCTTTCCTTCCATCCATCCATCCATCCATCCATCCATCCATCCATCCTTCTTAACTTCTATCCATCTGCCCAACCATCCATCCATCTGCTCATGCATCCATCTGTCCATTCATCCATCCATCCTTCCTCACTTCTATCTGCCCATCCATCCATCCATCCCTCCATCCACTCGTTCATCTCTTTCTATCCATTCATCCACTCATTTATGTTTTCTCATGCCTGGCATGTGCCAAGTATGTGTTGGGTTCTGGGGACACAATGGGGAACATAGATGACAGAACTCTGCCTCATAGAGCCCACACAGCTGGGGACAAAGACCACCTGCGACCAGCGATACAACATCTGGTTACAAGGGAGTAAAGTAAGGTTGCTTAATGGGAAGATGCAGCCAGCGGGGAGGCACTGCTGCGTCGGGACGGTGAGAAGGCCTTCCTGAAGAAGGCACGGGTGGCAGGGCTCCTCTCGGGATGGTGGCGAGGAAGCTCCTCAGGTTGTATGGGGCAGCACTGAGGCCTCCCAGCCAACAGCCGGCATCAGCCCTAGACGCGGGAGTGGCCCGGCCCTCAGAGCCTCCCACTGGGGCCCCAGACACAGTGGAGCAGGCAGGCTGCCCTCTCCAGGCCCTGTGACTCCTGACCTGCAGAATTTCGAGCTGGAGAGTGGACCTCCCCACCGCATTTGGGAGAATTGGTCACGCAGCTGTCCTGGGAGAGCCGGGGAAGGGAGCAGCAGAGAGCCTGGTCCGCTGCCCTTAGCCTGTGTGAAGGGCACCCTCAGTGCACCCTGAGTACATGGCACCTTTGCCTCTGGAGCCTGAGAAGGGGCCAGGTCCTCCTGAGCTCAGCTGTCAGAGGCCACCTGTAGACGCAGACCCTCCCTCCCAGCGGGCCTGTCCACTCAGTGCCCTTCTCCATTGGGGGCCTTTGCTCAGCCCAGGGTCCTGCTTGGAAATCCAGTCCCTCCTCCCTCGCTGACTGATTTCTGCCTATACTCTGCCTCTTCCAGGAAGCCCTCCCTGACTGGAATGCATAGTGACTGTTTCTTGGAAACGCTGGGAGAATTCAGAAGACAAAGATGAGTGGATGAAGAAAACACCATTTTCCTGCCCATGCATTGATGATGTCACCGTGTTTACTGTCCTCCATTTTGTTCCAAAGTGGTTTGGCTCCATTGGGTCATAAAGAGCCGCACCTGAGAATGCAAGAGCACCCTTCCTTGGCCACTGTCTGGCACCTGCCCAAAGCCAGGCTGGTACTTGCCACCCCATGCTCTGCCTCCTTGCCACATCTGCTGCCCCTCAGGCTTCTCCCGGCACCTTCCCCAGCAGGCCCACTTCCCTCCTCATGCTCCCCTCCCTGTCCCATCCAGTGTCTTCCTCCTGCATCAGCTTCCCTCTCCCTGAAACCCGCAGACCCTGCAGCCTTGCCTGCCCTCAGCCCTGCCAGCAGCTCCTGGCTGGCTAGGCCCATTCTCCACTGCCCCCTTCAGAAGTCCGCCCTCCTCACACTGCCCTCTGTGACTCCCGCTGTTCCGCCTCCCTCTCTGCTGGGGCCACAGGCCTCCACCTCGGGTGGGCGGCCAAGGTCCCAGTGACCTGCAGGCCCTAGCCCCGAAGCCGCCCTCTGGGGAGGGAGCTCTGCCTTCCTCAGGCTCCTGGATGCTCCCTGGTTTCTTGCTCTGGTCAACCAGACCCCGCACCAGGGCTCCTCCGGGGCACAGCTCCCAGCCCTGTACACACCGGCCTGGGGGGACCTCACCCATGTTCGGCATCTCCTGTGCGCTTCTGTCCACAGCTCTTGGGCCCTGGGCTCTCCACCCACATGCCTACTCCTCAGCCCGCCCTGCACACCTTGTCTCTTCCCTCATGCGTCAGAATCCAAGCACATCTGGCCCACGCCCGCAGCGCCTGGGCTCCCCTTACTGCTGAGCCTCCTGGGAGCCCCAGCAGCCAGAGCGAGCCCAGGGTCTGCGGAGCACCCATCACGTGAGCCTCCTTGCTTTGCCCAGAGCGTACCCCGGCCCTGTGCCTCCCCACTGGCTGTCCCACTGCTTGGATACTCCTCCCTAGGCCTCAGGGGACTGACGCCGTCTTGGCAGTGAGGCTGGTAACGCCGCCCAGTGGTACAGCACCTGCCCCTGTGCACGCTGCCCCCACGCACCCCACCTCTGGGCAGTGTGTTGCCAGCTCTAGTCAAGGGGCCTGCGGCTCGTGCCTGGCAGGGGTGGGTGGCGGGGAGGAGAGGACCTCCAGCAGCCTGGGTGCCGTGGTTGTCCAAGTGCTGTAGGCTCCGGGACCAACTCGCTGGTGGGGCAGCTGGGCAGGGGTGGCAGATTTGGAGAGCACAGACCCTGTCGTGGGGGACGGGATGGGGGAGTTGTTGCCTGAGGGCTTTTGTTGTTCCTTTTTAATTTGCTAGAGGGCATGGGCGCTTGCCAGAGAAAGAGCTAAGCCACTCCCGGGCGACGGCCACTCTGCATGGCCCTCAGGTCCTTGGTTCAGCATCTGCTGTGCTTCTCTAGCTGCTTGGTTCGGGAGCCGGCCCGCGCTGTCAGCCAGGGGAGATCAGCCATCTTAATCACTGTGCTACCGGCTGGCCTCCCCGGTCGGCTTATAACAAGTTAAATGTGGGACCACCAGGTGGTGTGGTTGAGGTGCTGGACTCCCACATGGCCAAAAACAGTTCGAGTCCCAGACCTGGCGGCTCTCTCTCGCTCTCGCTCAAACTTAAATAAATTTTTAAAAATTAAAAGTGAATATTTTATAGGTAAATACACTGAGTCTCAGGAAAGTTAAGCGGCTCGCAGAGAAGACATGGCTTTAAACACCCGGGCAGTGCTGCCTCGGGAGTGTAAGGCTTGAACTGAGGCTTTCATTTTCCCTGCCAGAGAGCACATGAGCACGCCACGACCGGAGAACAGAGTGCTGCCGAAAAGGAGCAGCCAGGAAATAAGGAAAAACGGGGAATTAAAAATCGTATAAATCAGGAATGAAAAAATTCAAAGATTTCCCGTACAGTAGAAAAATAAAATGAAAAATAGGAGAGAAGACGTACAATTAGGCCATCAGTCCAGGCAGTTCTAGCACATACTAAGAATCCCAGATGGGGCCGGCAGGTGGTGTGTGGTTAAGGCACTGGACTCCCACGTGGCTGACCATGGTTCGAGGCCCAGACCTGATGGCTTGCTTTCTCCCTTTCCCTTTCTGCCTCGCTCTGGTCAAATTAGGAAATAATAACTAATAGAATTAAATAAATACATAATTCTTTAAAGAGAAAAAATATCCTGGGAAGATAAGACAGAATGGGAGCATCGCCAACCAAATAATTAATTGCAAGTGTCCCAGAGCGAGGACCTGGGATTCCAGGCTGGGTGAGTGAGGGCGGCAACCCCAGGCCTAGCGTTGTACTGTCAAAGCAGGGGTCACCAGGCTGAGCCTTCAGCTGCTGTGAGCAGGGTGGGTTCAGCCGGCTTGGCCTGAGCTGGAAGCACTCGGAGAGCTTCGGGCAGAAGGATCACCGGTGTGTGAGGACAGGGATGGGCCTCTCAGGCCACTCGCTAGGTGGGTGAGGGAGGTGCTGGCGCCCCAGCTAGGAGGAAGGACGGGTTCTGCGCAGACCTGAGGGGAGCCTGTGCTGCTGGGAGAAGAGGTGGGTCCAGGAGCGCCCGGGCAGGGTGGGCTGGCACAGCACACGGCCCACACTCAGGTCACCCTGGCATCCGTTCAGTCCTCACTGGCTGATCGATTGGCTCCCCGTCGTGAGCGTGTCTGCCCTGTGGACATTCCTGCAGGGCCTTGCCAGGCGATGGCGATGGCGCCAGAACCAAAGCTGCCCTGCCCTGCCCTGCCCTGCCCTGCCCTGCCCTGCCCTGCCCTCCGGGCCCACAGGCTGGTGGGGTGACGGGTGAGCAAGCAACCCTAGGCCCCTTGCTTTCTGCAGCCCAAGTGTTGATGGGACCAGGAACCCTGTGAGGACACCCACTGCGGGCCAGGTCTGAGGTTTCTGCTTTGCTAGGCCTGGGACTCCCCGGGGCTGAGGGCGTCCCCAGCGTAGGGCGTAACTGGCCGTGGCATGGCCCAGTACCTTGCTGAGGCCTGCTTGTTGGTTATGTTTTGTTTCATTTTAAAGTTTTTGCCATCGGGCGTGTGTGCTCACTGGAGAGAGGCAGGGAAAGGGAAAACTCATCCATCCGGGGGCGATGGCCATGCCACAATCCTTTCTCCTCGTTCTCCTGGGACTTTGGGCATGCGCGCACGCACACACACACACGGCGTGGTTTTCAAGCCACCAGGTCTGGGCCTGCCAGCTGTAGTCAGCCAAGGGGGAGTCCAACACCGTAACCACCACGCCACCTGCTGGCCCTGACTCGCCGGCTGTTCTGATGTGGCCAGGGGTACAGCCCTGGTCAAGGTGCACAGGGGCCTGCTGGCTGCAGGGCCATGAGGTTATCTGGGACGAGAGGAGCCTGCCCATGTGAAGGACAGGCAGGTGTGAGGACAGGGCTTTGAGGGTCTGTCAGGGGATGGGCGAAGGGTGCCTGGAGGGGCCCCCATGGAAGGTCGGGCTCAGGGAAGGGTGCGACATGGAGGAGCCGGGACGTGGCAGGCGTGTCAGGAGATGGAGGGAGCGACCACTGGCCGCTGTCAGGCCCACGGAGCAGGCCTGCTGAGATGCGTGTGCGCTGACAGGCTGTGCTCGGGGTCCGAGGGTCTCGAGGTGAGGACCCTTCCTCTGGGGTGTCCTTCACGGCTACCTCATGGCTTCCTGTCCTAGAGGCTGGCGGCTCCTGGCGGGTGAGGGGCGACCTGGAGCAGGTGGTGGGGATCCTCCCTGGCTGGTGTGGAGCAGCTCCGGGCCACCCCGGGAGGGGACCCCACCAGGACAGGCGGTGACGGGCCTGTTCCGAAGGAAGCTGGCTGGCTCTGGGTGAGCAGGGCAGCCCGCTCCAACCCAGTTCCGCTCTATTTTCAACTCCTTGGCCATCTCCTCTCGCTCCCACTCTCCCGGGAACACAGGCCTTGTTTTCCTTAAGAGGGAGATTTGTCCCGTCCGCACCGCCTTCCCTCCCCGCAGAGCCACCTGGAGGAGGTGCAGCCAGTCCCTGCGGAGCCTACCCTCTCCTCCCACAGCCCAGTGGGGGCTGCCGGGGACCCCTGCAGGCGGCCTGGTGTCCACTTCACCGGCCTCCAGGCCAGAGGGCCCAGCCTGCTGCCGCGTTTGCTCCTGGCCAGATGTTCCCAGCAGCCCTGGCCCAGGGCATGTCCACTGGGGCACCACGGAGCTGGGGTGCCACGGAGCGGACGTCAGCCTGACCGGGCCCGGCTCTAGGGCGGCTGCCACGGCATGCTTCAGGAACCACCGTGACACTGGGGAGGCCAAGCTGCCCCTTCCCTTGTTTCTCTGTGGGGGACCCACGTGTAAAATGCCTCAGAGCCCCTTGGCGCCACCTCCCAAGTCGCCCTCATCCTGCCCTGGGCACACCCACCCTCTCTCCACGGCTGTTCTAGAGGGAGCACAGCGGTTCCTACCCAGGCCCCAGAGGGAAGTGAAGCCCCAGCCGCCTCTGCCACCCGTCCCTGCAGGAACTCCCGTGCCACGTCCCAGGGTCACCTGCCATTCTGCTTACCCACCTCACCCACGCAGGGCATCGGTCCGGGCAGTCTTCCTAGAGAAGCCGGCTAGGATGGCCCTTGCTCGAACGACTCATCACGGGCCTGAGGGAGCTGCGGGCCCGGCCAGGGCCGCAGCTGAGCCAGGCGTGTCCCTCCGTGGCTGCGCCCGCCTCTGCACACAGCGGGGGTGTGACTGTGGCACCTCTCCCCTCTGTGGGGAAACCCAGCCCCAGGGCACACAGCAGGGCACAGGGCCTACAACGTCTGGGGCCCGTGGCCACAGGGCAGCCCTTCCTGGGCCCACTGTGCCTGCACAGCTGGCAGTGGAAGGACGGGGGGACCGGCTGGAGCAGGTAACACGCGCGAGCCTAGCCACCTGCCGGCCCTGCACGTCGGCCACACAGCATAGTGTAGACCCCTGCCAGGCGTGTCTTCACGGGGTTGACCAGGCCTGTGCCGTGATGCCTCCTCAGGGAAGCCCTCCCTGGCTCTTTTTCCTCCCACCTGCTGGCGCATAGCACTGGGCTTGTCTCCTCCCCTGTGGGAATGGATCCTTACACCGAGAGCAAGCCTACTCATGGCCCTGGAGGGATCTGTCCCTACCCTGGTGTGAGATGCCCGTGCAGGGAGGAGCGCTGCCCGCTGGTCAGTCCCCGCCCTCCCTGTCAACCCCGCGTCTGAGCTGGGGAAGAATGAGGGACCTCTGCTGGGGAGGGGTGGAGCAGAAGAGGCAGGACAGTACCCACAGGGAGAGCTGCTGCCTGCGTGCCATCCCACACAGCTGACCGCTATCCAAATCCCACCCCCAGAGGTGTGCCCCAGCTCCCAGCAGGGAGGAAAATGGGGGACTGCAGTGTGGCCGTGCCCTTCAGTGCTTGCTCCCCGAGTCTGCTGGGGGAGCACATATGACTTCTGGCAATTGAAAAAGGAGGGTGTGCACACGAAGAAAGGCCCCCACTAGTGGTGCCGGTCACAGGCAAGCCCGAGAGGCGCTCCACAGAGCTGGGGTCGGGTGGAACTCTGCACCAGCTTCCTTGGGGGCGGAAACGTCTGGAATGAGGGGAGGGCCTCACAGCGTGGTTGCCTGAGGTGCACACCAGGATGGAGGGTGGTGCGGACGGCACACTTCTTTACAGGAGTCTCACCACTGCAGTCCTCCCCTCCATTCTTCTCTCGGGGTCTTGGACAAGCAAGCACAGGTGCCTGGCGTGAGTTTAAGCCACCGGGTCCAGGACTCGAACTGCAGTCAACTACATGAGTCCGGCAGTGTGACCACTTCGCCATCTGCTGGTCTCTCTGAGGCTCTTACAGCACGGTGAACGTGAGTCAGGATGCCTGTGGTGTGCCTCCCTGTGGGGGGACAGTCTCTCTGGGAGCTGGGTCAGCAGGCATCGGCAGATCCCAGCCCGGCACTCTGAGTCCTCGTGCCCACGAGGCTGAGACCCACTGCAGTGTGGCTGGGGCAATCTCTCGCTTTCTGTCTCTCCGGCAAGCATATGATGCATCTTATAAAAATACTAGTAAGGGGGACCAGCAGTTAGCGTAATGGCTATGTCGCTGGACTCCCATGTAGTAGACCGTGGGTCAAGTCCCAGGCCTGGTGGCTTAAACTCACACCAGGCGCATGTGCATGCGTGCCCAAGATCCCGAGAGGAGAATGGAGGACAAGGGATTGCGCCATGGCCATCCCCCCTGGGGAGAGGGGTGTGATTTCTCGCTCTCTGTCTCTCTGTCTCTCTGTCTGGGGAGTGCACATGCCCTGTAGCAAAAACCTCTCCAAAAAAGGACAAGGAACAGGACAAGGACAAGAACACCAAAGCTGAGTTCCCACATCCGCACAGGCAGAGTGGGCACAGCATCAGGACCTCCTCGGGGGCCGCCCTGGTGGCGGCAGAGAGACCTGCGCTTAGTCCGCCCTTTGGGCCACCTGTGGCTCTAACAGAGAAAGTGCGAAGGTATTTCCCCTGGTCTGGAGCCTGGAAGCGGGCGATCAGAGTGCCCG